GGGGGGGGGGGGGGGGTGAGGCCAATGCTGCACTGCTAGCACCCTGTACCGCTGCTGCCTCCAAGAAGCAGGGCCGGTGGGGGGCAATGCCAGCGCCACTGGCCTTGCCCCCCTGCTCTGTCCCCTCCATCATGGCAGCGCCTTGGTCCCTGCCATCCCCCTTTGCCTCCAAGGAGCAAGGCCGAGGTGGGGAGAGGCCAGTGCCGCTAGCCCCACCCCCCAGCTCACCAGGCAGGCTGTGGGAAGGGATCAGACCCCTCTTCTTGTTGTAGCAGAAGCCTGAGGGGGAGGGGATGGGGCGGGGAATGGGTCAGGAGTTCAACCAGATGTTTGGCAGTCATCAAAACCAGTCAGGCAGGGTTTAGTCCATGCTAATTGTCACTACAAGCCAGCAACCCACTTGTCCGGTTAAGGTCCTGATTGCTAACTTGTGGGGAGCACGGGGATGGAAAAAAATAGCTGCTGCTAAGGTGTGCAATTATACTCACAACCAGGTGTTACTTGCTCTGAGCAGAACACACCTATAGGGCCAGAGCTCACCTCCCCTGTTGTTGCAAAGACTGTCAGCTGTCTGAACAGCAAGGGAACTTTGCAGCCCCATTAACCTCCTATTAGGTGTTAAATGCTTAGAGCGGAAGACTAGTATACTTCACTGACAACAGCATGCTTCACTGTTCACTGTGTAGTATTTGTATAATAGTGCTAAGGGGGTCAGGGTATACTACGCACCACATTATCCCTGATAATGGAGCGGGAGCACATACATAGACATCCTTGATTGATCTCCAAAAGAGCCCAGGATTACCCTGATCTTAAACCCCTCAACATACCTTAGGGCCTTTTGGACACCCATCCCACCAAGTAAAATACGAGATGACAAGGACTGATTAGTTTCTTTGAATTATTTGTTTAATAACGTAATAAAAAGAGATCAGCAGAAGATTGATTCATGTTAGGTTCTGCAGTTACACCTGGTGTCCTAACACATTCATTACATACAAATATCTACAAATTTTAGTGACACTTGGTGGACAAAGCAGCTCAGTACATGCAATTAGTGAATTACCATATACATATAACAAATTAATGGCTGCATAGTTGCAATTTGGCACTTACATACTAAACTACATCAGAATGCGGTTTAGTTTGTAACTATGAGAATTTAAAACCCCTAAAGCTTGCATATGTGTACAGGCAGCCCCCGCTTAACACGGTTTCACTTAGTGCTATTTTGCTATAGTGCTCATTTAAAATTCATGCCTCATTTTACTTAGTGCTGAGCCAGTTTCGTTATAGTGCTCAGCAAAGCAGCAGCAGGAAGTGGTGAGTGGCAGCGATTGGGCAGGCAAGTGGGCATGAGCTTGGGGCCCGCACTGGTGCTCCAGAGCCAAGGCCAGCAGGGGCCCAGGCAATGTTCCCTCTAAGAAGTAGCGGTCCATGAGCACACTGCTTCAGTCCGCAAGCGCACCGCTTCGGTCTGTGAGCACGCTGCTTTGGTGCGGCGTGGGACACTTACTGAAGGTAAACTCCTCACTCCTCACCTGGGGCAAGCAGGAGGGGCTGGGTCCTGGAGACCGGTGGGCTAGGGGGCTTTGGGGCTGGAGCCTGGTGCAAGCTCCACAAGCTCCAGGACACTTCTCTGCTCCCCCGCTTCACCTCAGGGAGCGAGGAGGCACGTGGCATCAGGGCTGGGGAGTGGAGCAGTTCCCCAGAGCCAGCAGAGCCTGCGGAGCAGTTCCCTGGAGCCAGCAGAGCCTGCGCCAGCCCCAGCCTCCATCCCTGCCTTGCCTCACCTCAGGGAGGAGCCACTGCCTGCCCCGAGTGAGGCTCTGCCGGCTCTGGGGAACTGCTCGTGGCATCAGGGCTGAGGAGTGGAGCACTTCCCCTGAGCCCACAGAGCAGCTCCCCGGAGCTGGCAGAGCCTCACTCAGTGCAGGCAGCAGCTCCTCCCTGAGGTGAGGCAAGGCAGGGATGGAGGCTGGGGCTGGGGCCTGGCACAGGCTCTGCCAGCTCCAGGGAACTGCTCCGGGGGCTCTGCCAGCTCCAGGGAAGTGCTCCACTCCCCAGCCCTGATTCCATGTGCTTCCTCGCTCCCCAAGACAAAGTGGGGGAATGGAGCAGTTTGCTGGAGCTAGCAGAGCTCACGCCAGGCTCCCACCCCTGCCCCCGCCTCCACCTCGGCTTTCGGAGGAACTTATCATCATGTAAGTGTCTGACACCGCAGCCCAGCTCCTATCCCAGCGGGTGTGCGGCCTAAAAAATTTTGTACACGGCCAGCCTTTTACTTGTGCATTGCTGCAAATGCATGCACCTTAGAGGGAACCTCGGGCCCAGGGCAGGGCAGCAGGAGCGGGGGGCCTGGGCCAGCATGTGGTTCCAGAGTAGCTGGAGGGGGGCGGGGGGAGGAGAAGCAGCAGTGACAAGAAGCAGCAAGTAGGGGGCAGGCATGAGTGCGGGGCCCCTGCCAGTGGCGGCAAGGGCCCAGAGCAGGGCAGCAAGAGCACGGGGCCCAAGCTGGCACATGGTGCTGGAGCAGCTGGTAAGCAGGGGGGTGGGGAGAAGCAGCGGCAGCAAGAAGCAGTGAGTGTGGGGCCCCATGGTGCAGGAACTGGCAGGACGTGGGGCATGGACTGGCACGTGGGGCCAGAGTGGCCAGCAGGCAAGTGGAGGGGTGGGAAGAGGCAGTGGTGATGGTGAGGAGCTACAGCAAGAAGCAGCAGTAACCAATTATTTCTATTTACATTAAACCCTATGGGGAAATGGATTTTGCTTAGCGCGGTTCTGCTTAACGCTAGGTTTTTCCATTGCCAATCAAGAGTGTTAAGCGGGGGTTGCCTGTAAAGTGTGATGCTACTAAGCTACACAAAGGAAAATTTTCATCACTTGCACATCACCTCGGTGTCTTGTGTACAAGTGCCCATAGTACGCAAGCAGGAGCTGAGACACTGTGATTGCTTTGAAGAAGGTATTACTTAATATTAAACACCAAGAGTGCTTGGGTGCATGCAGATTACAGCCCCAACGACTATACAGTATAGATAGCACTAAACACCCTGGAGAACCCAGAGGAAAAGTCTCTGATTCTTGTTTTTCTGACAAAACTATAAGGGGTAGTAAGTTAGCACTGAAAGGCTTTATGGCATAGTCATTCCATAATTGCCCACTTCGAGATTTCTTGCTGTTTCCATTGAGTCAGCTTTTACTGGCAACTGTTGAACACAGGATATTGAACTAGATGGAGCATTGGTCTGAACTAGCGTGTCAGTTCCTAAGTTCCACAGTGGGAGTTTCTGGAAGCCACAGAAACTGTCCAGAGGAGAGCTGGACAACCTCAAATCATGTGGGAAAGGGTTGGGAGGGCCTTGCTTGGGAGAGAAAGGCAACAACACAATATGTGCCTTCATTTCACCTCCCAGCCACTCTTCACTGTTCAGGGGTATTTCTCCATAGACTGAGGGAGGGGTGAGGGGAGGAGGGGAAAGAGCAATCCCATGCGGCATTTTCTTCCTCAGATTCACTCAGGATGCTTTAAGCAGAGAGTACAGTTGACTATAAAAACCACATCTCCAGAGGGGTCGTATTTTGCCTCTCTATCATGGGAAAACAGTCAACCCAGTTTGGTGAAAATTAATCGTAGTGATTAGCAACTAGTGAAGACTCTCAGCTCTCCAGAGCCTGTCTGGAAAAAAGCAAAAGACAAAACAGTGCTGTATTTCCCATCTTTAAAATACACACAAATATTTTATTTTCTTTTTCACCAGAAAAACATAAACCAGCTCCCTATATTAAGAGACTCCTGCATGCATTATTATTCAACTCAGCACCTTATGCTCTTTTAAAGGTTTTTAAAGAATGGGAAACAGTTTCTAAGCAGAAATGAACACGATTACTGAGCTCAAAAGAAACGAGAGTGTTTCCTTGTCAGAAAGTCCAGCCCTCATCTAACCATTAGAGATGAAATTGTTTCCTTGCCTCACTTGCAGAGCTTGGTGACCCAGACTCCTACTTTTCATTATAGAAAGATTATAGTGCTCCAAGGTTAAATGGATTTCAAGTGGCCTGTGTCCCATCAGCTTCAAAAAATTAAAGTAGTTTCAGATCCTACAGATGCCCTGGTTTCCCTCTGCCACTTCGGGTGGTTTTATACAATTACGTTGTCCTATTTTTAAAAAATGTTTTGCTCCTTCCTGCTCCTGTGTAAAAAAAACAAACAAACCCACAACCAACAAGGGAAAGAGATTAACAGTTTTAGGGAAACTGAAAATCTGCAGAGTGCTGCCACTGTTTCCTCTAATCTCTCTCAGTTAGAATAACCTCAGAAACAATAGTAGATGGAAAACATTCCAAAAGGGAGTGATTTTTAAATGGCTTTATATCCCTTTTAGCTGAAGCTTTCCTTTATTAATAAGATTAATTTTGATTCTCTTACCTAATTTTTAAACCCCCCACACAAAAGTCCTTAAAATAAAATGAAAAAAAGTGATCTGAAGCTTCAGTTATCTCCTCCAAAGGATTTTGACAAGGGAAGAACTTTATGAAAGCAGTTTGGTTATATTTCTGTTGTGCAGGTGTTTATGTTTGTTGAGAACTGGAGGACTGAGAGTGGCTGAAGGGACAGGGAAGGCCATGAGCAGGGTATGTGGCAGGCACTCTGCTGTGAGGCTGAAGCTCAAAGAGCTAGGGCCCAGTCAGCAGACCTGGACTGAGAGACCTTGGGTGGAAGAAAAAGGAACTGAGGCTAAACAGGTTGAAGCTTGGACACCAGTTGGTTTTGAAGGGGCCCAGTACTAGTCTGGTGCAGAAAGAGAGAGGCTTTGGATGTCAGGGTCTGAGTCCCAAGTCAAGTGGGTCAAGTTGAGCCCACGAAGTAGCCAAGAAAGAACTAGGATACGCACCTAAGGCTCAGTAGCCTCCAAAGAGAAGTCTCCCTTCTTCCCTTCTTCATTAACAACAACAAGACGTGGCAGATGAGACACCAGAGAAAGACCCTAAGAGGCAGGAATGAAGGCTGGATAGGACTAAGGCAACCATCAAGGGGGTGCTACAGCAACCCCAGGGTGTATCCAGTTACAAGGAGGCCTTTTCAGAATATAGTAAATATATAGGAAACCATGCTTAGTGCAGTGATGCTCAACCAGGGCACCATGGCACCGTGGGATGCTTTGTGATCCCTTCAAGGATGCCATGGAGTGCCATGCAATAGCACGGTGACGTGTGCAAACATGATTCATGGAGAAACAGAAATGCAAAATAGGAACATATAGGGTTAAAAACATTCTGACTTGTTGTGGTCTGCTTGAGTTCTTTGCAACACAATTGCTCTACTATTTTTCTGTAATCAAAAAACAAGGGGAAACTAGGAGCTGGCCTCCTCTGAGGACGGCCATGAGTCTGAGGGCTGCCCTGTGTTAGGGTTATCAGCAAAACACAGCCAAATCCACTGAGACTGTAAATCCTCACCTGTGTATTGAAGACGGAAGGGTGTACCCAGAATTTCATGAACCTCATTGCACCTAGGCTGGGTTTAGGGTGGTTAGCAAAACAGGCCATCGTTTTGTGGGCTTGTTCTCAAAATAAGCACATCATTTTTAGGCTTCTGTAATCTACCTTTTGTTTTCAAGGACAGAAGCACTCTTAGCACAGCTAGAACCATCACTGTAAGCAAGAAAGGCAAGGAGAGGACTCAGCATTGCCCCATGAATTGCACGGTCATTTATACCTGAGCAAAATGAGTTTGCAGTGTTACCAAACCAAGATGGTGTCATTTCACACCCAGTCTGCACTAAATGATTGCACGCTGTGCAGGACCACAAAGCATCAGAACCGCTTTGTCAGCTACGGATGCGAGATAATCAGACATTCATGCCCAGTGTAGCTGTGCCAGCATGGTAGAGACAAATTTGCTTACAGAAGAGTGCTTCTGTTGGCTTAATTTACATCAAAAAGAGGTGAGAGGTAGTTAGCTATTTTGTCTGTAGTTAGGGAGAATGCAAGGTAGTTTTGCACCTTATAAATTAACTAATCAGAGATGTACAGTATGAGTTTATCGAGTCCAGGCAGGTAGCACATTTGTAATGTAAGATGCCCTGTAAAGTCAATGTGCCCTTAGATAAATAATTTTCAACTTTTTTAGACTAGGGACACACCTCTTTGTTAGAATCTAGGCACCCTTTGGAAAATGCCAGATCTTAGTTTTTCACTTGCTTTTTGACTATGGAAAAATAAGAGAACAGCTGTTGCAAAGAATAGAGCAATAGTTGCAAAAATCTCAAAGTGACAAGTCAGAATGTTTTTGACACTATGGATTCTTATTTGGAATCTCTGGGTTCATCCTGTATATCACATTTAAGTGTTTGCACACATAATCGTAGATGGCGGAAGGGGCAGCTAATGGCGCTTAGCCCTCCCCTCAAACGTGGGGCAATGGTAGGGCCACAAGGCCGCCTGGGCATGGGCTTCCGGTGGGTGCAGGGGAGGGGTGAACATGCAGCTGTGAGGGAGGGAGTGGGGGTGGGGCTGGGGCAGGTGCTGTACAGCTGGGGCAGGACGGCATGGGATGCAGGACTGAGCCGCGAGTGGATCATCTGGGGGCCATTGCTCGTGCTGCTACACGTACTTCAGGAGGCATGGGGGGAGCGTGCCCCAGATCTGTGCAAGGCAGAGTGAGCTGCTGCTGCAGGCCCGGGCCAGGGCTACACTGGGCTCTTCTTAGTGGGGTGGGGGGTGGGCTGGGTAGTCAGTGGCGGCACTGGAATGGGGGCTACAGAGGGTCTGCAGCCACCACAAAATTCGCCATAGCCCCTGCAACCTCTCCTCCCAGCACTGCTGCCACCCGCCCTGAGTGCAGCATGGCCCAACCCCCCTGCCAGAAAGAGCCCAGCCCCAGTCCGCAGCCCGCCCTCACCCCATGCACAGATCCTAGGTACATGGACTCCATGCCCTCCCAGGGTGTGTGCAGTGGCAGGAGCCACCACTCCCTCCCCGTGCCAGGTGCCCCCAGATAAGCCACTTGAGGCTCTGTCCCATGCCTCGCCCCAGCTGTGCAGGGCCTGCCTTTGCCCTAGCTCCACTCCCTCCCTCATGACTGGGGGGGGGAGGGGGAGGAGGGGGGCAGATCAAAGCCCCAGCAGTGAGGGAGGGAGCAGGGCACAGGCAGAAGCAGGGTGCTGGGGCAAGTGGCTCCTGCCTGTGCCCCACTTTCTCCCTCCCCATTGGGGCTTCAATCTGCCTCCCCCTATGGCCCTTCCCCCTCCCCCTGCCCTTTCTCTCAGACTTCCCTGCACACCATGGGGTGCGTGTATGCACACACACGCTCATCCCCCCCAAATATTTTTTTCTCTCTCTGCCTATGCACATAATAGTGCTAATATTGCAAGGTACCCTTAAAGGATCCTGTGGCACCCTGGCTGAGAATCGCTACCTTAGGGACTTATATGGGCTGAAATGGCAAAAGCAAGATGCACCATAGATGCAAATAATTATAAAAGTATAAAATGAGTTTGATCACCTAATCCAGACCTTGGTGACATTAATCTGTGTAACAGCACCATTATGCAGTATGGCAGCTTGAGACAATGGGCCATGTCTATGTTCACAGACCTCTCTCTGCAATAGAAGTGGTACTGCAGGGATTCAGTGACCCAAGGTATTGATAAGAGCTTTCAGCCCTGGAAAGTTTGGAAACATAGACTGGGGCAAATACAGCAAGAGAGGGCAACAAGGAGTCTGAGGCACCTGGCTGAAACACCATGCATAGGCATGAGGAATAGTTTCATAGTTTCATAGCCTCCAGGGTCGGAAGGGACCTGAGCAGATCATCTAGTCCGACCCCCTGCCATGGCAGGAAGAGCACTGGGGCCAAATGACCCCAGTAAGGTGGTCATCCAACCTCCTCTTAAAAACCCCCAGGGTGGGAGCCTGCACCACCTCACTTGGAAGCTGGTTCCAGACCCTAGCCGCCCTGACTGTGAAGTAGCGCCTCCTGATGTCCAACTTAAACCTTCCC